CCGAGCAACAGACAAACGTAAACAAAGGTGTATGTTTGTAGTGTATTTTACAATAGCTTGGAACAATAGCTCAGCCAATCAGAATCAAGGACCGGTACTCTCCGTTTTTTAAATATTTTTATTTCAATTAACAATATGTTGAAGTCTTATTAGTTAACACTATTTTGAACCGCAGATTGATAATATAATAGAATTAGCGAATTCTCACTCACACTTGATAAAGCTTTTTATAAGTTTATTTACTAGTTTAAATGTTTTATATTTATTCGATAGAGCTTAGTCTTTTTTGTTATTTTATTATTATTTAAATGCTATTATAGTTTTATTGATATTTTGAATTGATTTTTATTTGTACATTTTTATATAATTTCTTTTTTAAATATATTTTATATTTTACTTAAACTTTTTTCAGTTAGTTACCAAGGCATCATTTTTATATTTTTTGTAACTAATTTTTTTACTTTATTTGATTTCAGCTTTAATTCGATTAACAATAATCTTTATTGTTTTAGTTAACGATTGTAACCCTGTTTTGCACCTAACTTGTATAATAGCATTAGTGGATTCACTTTTTAATAAAACTTCTATTTTTTTTTTTAATCAATGTACATTTATTTTGAATAAATAACATAAAAATCTCATTATTCCAGGGCTTTGTCAAAGACGTTCACGACGACTCGCTCTCCGTTTCGTTTGAAAATAAGTGAGTAGAAGTTAATAGTTTCCAATCATGACATTAATGCTTTTGAAATGAGCTTTGGTGGACGAGCATCATTATATGAAATGATTTTCTCAGCTGGCAACCTGAAAGACAAGCTCCCTTCAGTGATGTGCGGTTACCACCTCCTGCTGACGGCAAAACGGAGATCACCGAAGGAGAAGAAGTGGAGGTGAAGTGGAAGATGTTTTTATTATCAGTAATGCACAGCCGTGAAGCTCTTAACACGTGTTGTTCTGTGTTCAGATTTACTCCCGAGCGAACGAGCAGGAGCCCTGCGGCTGGTGGCTGGCTAA